AAGGCTCATTTTATCTTCTGAAAAAAATAGATGTTGATGCACATCACTTCTAAATATCTGTCTGTTTTAAAAGTCCATCTTTTTTTTTTTTTTGGTCTTTTTGAGACAGGGTCTCCCTGTAGTACCAGCTGTCCTGGAACATACCATGTAGACCAGGCTGGCCTTGAACCAACAGAGATCCGCCTGCCTCTGCCTCTGCCTCCCAAGTGCTGGGATTAAAGGCTTGTGACACCAAGCCCAGCAAAAAAAAAAAAAAAAGTCCATCTTTTAAAATCATTCTTATTAAAAATACTTTTTTTGATGATTGTCTGAGATACAAAATACATCAAGAAAGCAGTAGATACCTATAATCCCATGATCAAGGAATACCATCATTAAGATTTTGACATCTTTTAGCCTTATTTCTGGTTACATATATATGGCTGCATTTATATGTTTGAAAATTCACACTTTCTATATATGTAATTTCACAAAAGTCTCAGAACACCCTGTGACACAAGCACTCTCCCATTCATAAATGCACTCTTTTGGGTACCCTGGCATAAGATTCTCCCTGACTACTTAATACCTGGCAGTCCCCAGCCCCAGTTTCTAGATGTTACTTCTTTTGTTCTTCCTTCTTTGCTTTAGAATTCTCATATTCTCTCTTTCTCTCTCATTCTCTTGTTCTCATTCAGTCTCTTCTCTCACTCTTTCACTCTCTGCTCTCTGTCCTAAATCAGAGAGAGAGAGAGAGAGAGAGAGAGAGAGAGAGAGAGAGAGAGAGAGAGAGAACATATACCAAAATCTGCCAATGATGAAGTAATACAGTGACGATTTTCTTGTCCAGTATCTGCAAACACATAAGTCCTCAGGGTCAGTGTCTTGATGTCTGCTCTAAAGACTTTCTCCAGCTTTCTCTCACTCTAGTGCCAAACCCTTGGTTCTAGATATAAATTATTGTCTGAGCAGGAAACCAAAGATTAATTTGCTAAGAAACTTCATCTTTTCCATAATTTCTGTATCAGCAATTGGCTCGATTAATGGCTTATCCCAGGCTTTTCCAAGAGCTGTATTTTTCTTCATGGAGTCCTTGACTACCATCTTTAACTTTACTTCTTGCTTCATGGTAACTGGATCAGCTCAGCCCTCCACAAAATGATAATAAATCTTAATTATGGGGCTCGTGTTTACTATGATGGAACAAATGTGCATCTCCTATTATATGTCAAAACACTCTACTTAACCTTCAATTAGTTGATCTATTAATGTTACTATTTACTGTGGAAATTGAAATGATCCTAAGTTTTAATGAATGCCTGTCTAAGTCAGTCATAAGCTCATGAATATCAACTTATGTGCATTAGCATTAATGTGTGATTTTACATTCTTTATGTAGAAAAAGTGGGCATATCAACATGAAATTATTTTTATTATAAACCTGCCAGTGCATTTTAACCATACTGTATATATGGAAAAACAGCTCGTCTTTGATACAAAATCCATCTTTATTTTTACCTTTGTAAGGTTTAATGTCAATGGAGAGTTATATATACATTTTCAAAAATACATTTTTATCAATTTAATAATTTCTAAATTACATATCCTTTCTTTTTTTGTTGATGTCTTTTTTATCATAAAAAACTTTAATATGTAAGCCTTAAATTTCAGTTATCACTTAGGTTCATTCATTATTTGCAGATCATTTTTGTAACTTTTCAATAGAAATTTTGATCATATGAAAATACAAGTCATTTCCATGTAGAAAATATAAGGCAAATAAAGGAATTTGTAAATTTCTTTCTTTTGAGTGAAGGGTAGATACCTAGGGGGCTGACCTTTAAGTTAATTAAAAGTAACAGATAAATTGGAGGCCAAAGCACCCGACAATGCCATGCTAAATACCATTACCATTTCTGTGGTGACTTTTAGAGAGCATTCATTTTCCACATCATAATTTTGCAAAAAGCGCTTACTGTGCTAGTATCACAGGCAGTGTGTTTATTTGTATAGAATAGAGCAACAATCTCGTTTTTCCTCCAAAAAAGAGACTCTTGTGCTTTGTAGGTGTGAATGAGAGTTAGTGAAACCATTATATAAAGTTCTATAAAGGTTCGTATGAAATGTAATCAATGCTGCAAATAAATATCTGGACTCCCATGTTCATTATAATGTGATCACAATAGTTACATGAATGAATAGATAAAGAAATTGTGGTCTGAGTTACCAAGATAACCTCCCTATAGGCCTCCTTGTACCAATTGTTGGCTATTTCAGATTTATACTATACACTGTAACCTTTAAAAAATTCATGTGTATTTAAAATACATATGAACATAAAATGACAAAAAGCAAGTGACCATTTATTTCTTAAATACATTTGAATTTTTATTTTAAGTTTATTTTTATTTTATGTGTATTAGAATATTGCCTGCATATATGTAAGTGTATCCATGCCATGCCGTGCCCATGGAGGCCAAAAGAGGGTGTCGGATCCCCTGGAATTGGAGTTATGAACGATTGGTAGTTGCCATGTGGGTGCTGGGAACCAAACCCAGGTTCTTTGCAAGAGCAGCCAGTGCTCTTAACTGCTGAGCAATCTCCCCAGCTCCACATTTGGATGTTTTTTAAGGCTTTAGTATATAGAACAAGTATGAAACCAGCAAGAATTGATGCATGGAGCCTCAAAGATGTTACTAGATCAACCCAGGTCAGAGATAATGTTGACATAGACCAAGGTGACATGAAAGCAATAGGTATGGAAGAATCTGAAAAGAGTCTTGCGCTTTATACAGAAAAAATGGCAATGGAATTCAATGATGAGATAAAGAGAATATTTTAAGGAGATCAAGTAACACACAGCACAGTAGGTGAGACTCTGGGCTTAGGAGGGAGACTGAATGATTTCATTACACAGGTCTACCATTTTTAGGCTCTGATACTCTGAAAAGTTCATTTATCTTCTCTATGTCTCACATCTTCATCTGTAACATGGTATAATAATATTGCCCACATCATTGTGTTATACAGATGATATGGGACTGGTGAGATGGCTCAGTGGTTAAGACACAGCTCATGCAGAGGACATGTTTGGTTCCTAACAAAGACCTGGAACTCCAGCTCCAAGGGATTCAACTTCCTCTTCTGGTGTCCCTGGGCACTGCACTTATGTGCACAAATCCATACTCACACATATAAACAGAATTAAAATTAAATCTTAAAAAATAATTATATGAACTAAAATGTAGATCTGATTTTAATTTGGACAAGTGCTTGATACACACAGCACACTGTAGTTCTATGACACTTCTATTATGGTAATAGTGATCCATTAGCTTATGCAGGCAATCTTGGAATACTACGTTTCAGGAAGGAAGTCATAAATTGGGTTTTGAATATTGTTGGATTATAGTTTAAGACATTCACGATATATTAGCAGTCAATTGGATGTAAAGGTAAAAAGCTATAACAGTAAGTGGTCTATAACAGTAAGTCAATGAAAATATGAGAATTTTCACAGAGAAACACTAGAGTGAGAAGACACAAGGCAGTTTCCAAAAACTCAGTTTTAAGGAAGAATAAAGCAAAAGGAGCCGACAAACAGGACAGGAGTTAGAGATACAGTAACAAAGAGATAGGAAAGACACTACAGAGACACAAAGCTTTCGGGAGAAAGAAGTGATTAACTCTTTTAGGTGCTGTTGACAGATGTACAAAATTGAATCTGCCATGTTTTTATTGAGTTATTGGCTGTTGCTATTGTTTTATTGGCTGTTGTTAATCATAGGACATGTCTTGTGAGGGTTAGCTTTGTCAGCTTGACACAACGTAGAGTCACCTGGACAGTTTCAATGAGGGATTGTCTACATTGTGTTGGCCCATGAGCATGTCTGTAGGAGACTGTCTTAATTAAGTTAATTGATGTGGAAGACCTAGATCTTGTGTGCAGAACCATTCCCTAGGCAGGAGGTCCTGGACTGTGTAACCATGGAGAAGTGGAGCTGAACACAAGCAATCAGGCAAGCTAGATGTGAAGTGACTAGCAGGTTTCTAGTTCCTGCCCCTGTGATGAACCGGTACATGGGATTGTAAACTAAATAAACCTTTTTTCTGCCTCAGCAGCCTTTTGTCAGGATATTTTATCATAGTAACAGAAATAAAATTAGGACACACCTTTTGGATGGAATGGAGGGACTTCAACAATAGCACTAAGTAACTAGGAGATTAGACTATCATGCTCAAAAGAATGACGAGAGGAATTATCCAATTCATATGATGTGTGTGTGTGTGTGTGTGTGTGTGTGTGTACAGAGGGTAAATGTTTTAGAGATACTGGGTGTAAGGAAGATTCTAGTTCTATCTCTCAAATGCTGAGGTACATGAAGTTAAAAATATTCTGTTTCTAGAGAGATGTCTTCCAAACATTAGCCAGTAAGCAACCAAGTTTAGGAAATTCCCAAAGAAGCTGAAGAATTTATTGAACATTTACCATCAAAAGTAGCAGAAGAAAATAGTCAAAAACTTTGAAAGTAATGGTGAGAGGGAAGAGTTGGATCATAGACAGGAAGGAAACATTAGGGAAAACTGAAATTATGTTTATAAAATATTTGAGTGTTTTAGTTAAATGTTATTCATTGTTACATTTCCATGAATAGAAAGGTATTATGTTAATAGTTAGCCCAGGAAACCAAAAGAAAAACATTTTAAAAAAAGTAATTTAACACAATTAAATCTAGGATCAAGTTTTGGCAGGACTAGGGACTGGTAAGGACCGCCTCCTGAGAATACATATGACCACCTCACTGCATCTTTACTTGGTAGAGAGTAATCAAGCTGTCTGATATCTCCTCTTAAGGATGTTGATCTCAATTCATGACTCTATCTCCTAAAGGTTTTTATCTTCAAATATCATCGCATATGTGATACAGGAGAGATGACACGTTCCTTATAAAAGAAATGTTATTAATGTTTGTTATGAGCACAAAGAGAGCTGTGCTAATAATACATTTTCTTGTTAACAGAACTCAGTTACAGGAGCAAAATATCGCTCAAAAAAGGACCACATGATATGTAAACTCATGTGTTTGTGTATTGCTTACTCTTCTACCATTGGTGGACTGACAACAATCACTGGGACCTCCACCAACTTGATCTTCTCTGAGCATTTCAATACGTAAGTAAAATCACTGTATTGATAATTTAATAAATGGACAGCAAACAAACTAGAGAAATTATTCTTACTTGAATCGTAGAATCCAAGGACCAAACTGCTATATTGGGTGAGCTTACCTTTGTTTCCTATCAGGGAATCATTAGACCTACAGATCTTCCTTTGGAATGAAGATTAAATATGAAGGATCTAAGGAATTTACAAGTTATTAAAGATTTTCCTGGTCTGCTAGGAAAATATAACTGTTGGTTGACCCTCTTATCACACACAGAATAAAGTTTTCATTGCAGCTAATTCAACAACGTGGTTGTCAGAGGAAGTGAAAAGGCATTGTTTGCATGGGACAGTTTATGTAGTTTGGAGATTGGAATTTTAATTTAAGTGATGAATTGTGAACAATGGTACTAACCACAAAAGGCTTAGCTTTGCAATTCTAAAACATCTGAAAAATTAGGCAGCTCTCAGAAATGGAAGGGATAGAATATTCTACAGATATATGTATGGCTGAATGAAAGAGCAATTGTGGCACCAACCCATTGCAGAAAATGAAGAATTTGTACTTTCAACAGTGGTAGTGTTTCAGTTACAACTTCTACAGTTTTAAATTCGCAAATTTAACCAAATAGTATATTATTCCTCAAGGGCATATTTTTGTATGTAAAATAGACACATTGTATAGCCTTATTGTGATAATAAATGTATAAATAATAACATTCTGCATTATTAAAATCTGTTGAGGCTACACTTTAGAAAGTTTTTTTTGTTTGTTTTGATTTTTTTTAGAGAGCTCAGAGTGATTGTATAGCTAAGGTTTACTTAAAATAGTAAAAGTACATCATATACTTGTCAGAGTACAAAGAAGACTAGTATCAAGGAAGACCAAGAACAAGAGGCTGTCTTTTTACATAAATTTAGGGTTCGGAAACAGGAAAGATACACTCTAGAGAACAGAACCCTAGACTCTACAAAATTATTTGTAACAAAATTATTTGTTTCTCTAACAAACTCAAGACTCTAATACTTTTCAATGCCCACTTTGCAAAGAACAGGATCTTGTGTATAAACAGTGCTGATATACAAGTGTGAATCAGTATTGATGATGTCTGTGTATATTCAGGATTTCTATGAACATTGATCTATCATACGTTTGAACAACCAACTTAGCAAGAAAGTTTTGAAAGGTATTTGATTTGTAAATGGTAGATTTCTAAAATTCAGTATTGAGAGGATATATTCCATGTGTACCCAAATTCAGGACTGGAATTGTGGCTAAATCCTTTCTGAAAGCAAGACTTGTACCCTTGATCAAGAACCCCCCCCAAAGAACTCCTGTATATCAATCAGCTTTTAGGACCTTTTTCCTAATGTTGAGTCCAATTTATATGCTTTACCATAGTTAATGCCAGAGAATTGCTGATGGGTTAAACCATGCTAACAAAACCACTTCATACAGTTGAATCTATACTGAGTTTGCCCCTGGTCTTTGTGGTCCTGCAGTGGATCAACCAAAGTGGTTTTTTATCATTAATATCATTATTTAATTTAATTAATATATTTTTGATTATTTAGTCTTTCTCTTGACTCTTTGAATGCATTAACCAATTTTTAATAGAAGAGAGACAGTATTTTAGCAAGTAAATAAAATATTTTAATAACTATTTTCCTGAATTATCTAATTCCTCTAAAACATGGAAATTTGACTAAAATGCTTTTTAAATTTAGAAATTACTTAAAATACACCTCAAAAATTTAGTGTTTTTCTTCAAAAGTATGCCTTTACACTAGGAATTGTATGTAAATACTGATTAGGGGAAAAAATCAATCACCTTTTGATAGAAAATACCGTTATAAAAGAGGGAAATGCCTTATTTATAAATATAATTGAATCATTAGATAAATTAGGTGCTTAGTAAACATTTCCTTAAATACTGACCTTATAAAATGCCATAGTATCACTGGAAAAATGTTAGGAGCTTAAAAACTTTCCAAAATACTATTATTTTTTCATAGATTTTAGAAGTGGAGAGATAACCCTCTTTATTTATGAATCCACTAAGAAACGATAATCTTTCCCTCTTCATATTGTTTTCCATCTTTTTGAGCAATAGTATTGAGTTTTCACAACTTCATGTTGAGTGTCTCCCAATGCTGCAGACTATATGCAACTTGAGTATAATAATGTCTTTCCATTGACATTTGAAGAAAGGTGCCATCTTACAAATATACTACTGGAGGAAATTTTTTTTATTATTTTATGTGTAGGAATGCATTGCCTGCATGTATGTGAGTGTGCCCATGTCATGCAGTGCCTGCAAAGGACAAAAGAAAGTGATGGATCCTCTGGAAGTAGAGTTAAGGATGGTCATTAGCCCCCATGTGGGTGCTAGGATTCAAACCTGGGCCTTCTGCAAGAACGGTCAGTGCTCTTGACCATTAAGCCATTTCTCCAGGCCCTGGACAAAATTCTTAAGCTTCCTAACCTTGTCACCTTTCCAGAAAGATGAGGAAGAGAAGATGGTCTCCGTCTTCAAGGGCTTCTTTCAGTTTTAGGTGAAATAAACAGCATTTGGAAGAGTGCTAGGGCAGATGGTTTGCATGTGCTCAGTAAATGTTCGCTATTACTATAACTAGAGTTGAGAAAGTTGAGTTTTAATTTGGAAATTGAGGACAAACCCAAAGTCAGTTAGACTCCAAAAACTGCCATCATGAAAAATTCCCTTCCTAGAAACTGAAGGTATACACACCCTAAGGGAGGGTTTTAGCTATATGCTATAGAAAATTTATATAGATGATTCATAAAAATTTTAAAGACATAAACATGATGTATATTGATAAATGAGTGCAAATAACTCATAAATCAATGGACACAATGTCCACAACATATTGTTTAAGGGCTGGAGTAGCCTGCATGTTTTATATAGCTTGGAGTAGTAGTGTGCAGACAGATGGGCATTCTGAGAGTTTGGGGAAAGGAAACCAATTAGAAGTGCATCACTCAAGATAAAAGGCTAGTTCTGAAGTGATAAGATTTAGATAGAAGACATTGCATAGTGAGAAGGTCATTATAATTAGTTGTGAGAATTTTAAGTTAAAGAGGAGTTAAAGTAAGTCTGGGGATGCCTGGCTAGAGAGTGGTGCCATGCATGTTTAGAAAAGGAAAGGCAGGGTTCTCTGGACAAATTAACACATTTAATCTGAACACACTAACATGGTCTACTGAGGAACTATCCACAAGGAGATCTTTAGCAGGCTTTTAAAGTACATTCTTCACGATAATCAGAAATCAAGGCATATATCTATAAGAGCAAAAATTAGATTCTTGAGTGTGAAAATGTTCAAAGACTGAAAAAAACTTAATAGAATCCAAATATGAATATACATACTTCTTGGAAATATTGTCAATAAAGAAGGTGAGTAAAGTTATTAAAGTAGGAAGAAAATCAGCAGGTGATGTTCTTTGCTATCTGAGAATTTCACATATTTGCTATATTTTGATCAAGTCCACCCCCATTCCCTCATTTATAGTTCCTCCCGTCTCCCCCTCACCCTTTTTCTTAGTTTTATATGTTCATTTTTTTAAACCCACTGAGCCTACTTAGTGCTGCAAGTGACTCGGGGGAGAACCTACTGGTATTTTTCTGCTAAATGGACTTGGCATGTGTTTTTAAAGACAAAAGAAAAAAAAGTACACTTCTAAGAGGGAAGATAGGTCAGGGGTGCCTAAGGTGGTAGAAGTAAGTGAAGCAGAAAGACGGTTGCCCTACAGTTCTCCTCTGTGTCCTAGAAGGGGTAGGTTCAAAGGAGTGGCAGGTGCAGGGCACAATTCAGACTGAGCAGGAAGGAGCGAGTGGGGGGGCAGGCAGAAAGTCAAAATGATTCAAGTTTGAAAAAGAAGAACATAGGGTCTAATCAAAGGCTCAGAGAGGTTCTTCTAGAACAAAGAGAGATGTCAGCTCGGTTTTGACTCACTGAAAGAGAAACGCTGAGAAAAGAAGGGGAGTATGGGAAGAGGTAGGGAGGAGAGAGGATGCTTGTCAAACACTGGTTGAGATGAACTGTATTAAGACATAATTAGCTAAGGATATCTAATCTTCAGAATTATCCTAACACCTGAATCATCTTCATATCAAAAGGAAATACACTATTAAGGACAGTTAATATTTCCATAGTAGGGAGTTTTAGATGAATTAATATCACAAAACAAATATAGTTAAGAAAGAGCTCCTGAAATAAAGAGAAGAATATTACCACAAGTAAAATTACACAGTTTGCTGATTATCAAAGTATATTATTCAGTTTTTAGGTTTTGGCTGTAAAATCATGGTTATAGCAAGCAGTTCAGAATAAAGCTGCATTATCAAAATTAGCATCCTCATTCTTACTAATTTCAAATTCAGTTATGACAGTAGTTCCACTTATCTACTGAGATAGGTTCCAAGAATCTCAATAGATACCCAAAACTGTAGGTAGTACTCAAACAAACAGGTATCATTTTTCACTACATATGTATGACCTGTAATAAAATTAAATTTATAAATTAGTCACCAGACACATAAAAGATTAATAACACAATGTAAAAAATTTAAAAATAGGACAGCTGTAGCATACTGTAATTAAAGTTATACAAACTTAGCTATTCTCTTTGTTGAAAGAGTCAAGATAATAAATATAAGTATTTTCAGATGATGGTTGACTGCTGGTAATTGAACCTCAGATATTGAAACCATGGCCAACTAGTGGACGATTGGACTTCAGGTTTACAAACTGAGAATAGTAAAACAGATGTCTTTACATTTGCCTTAAGCTCAAAGTTTACCTGCCTATACTGTCCTCTTGGCTAACTCTAGAAGAAAAAAGTAAAGTAATCACCTTGAAGTACTCACCTACAACAACTACCATGGTTTTCTCTTTGGAAATGAACAGTATATCTCAGAAATAAATGCCCTGAAAACTACTAGAGAGAAATGTGGGAGCTGCTGTTCTCTGACCTCCACACATACTCT